ATATCAAACAGAGTCAATAGACTAAGAAATGAAAAAATATGAATAAATTGTGGCAAAAGAAGATCTGGGTAGACGGAACCTGATCAAACTAGTCGGCTGAAACCAGAAAATGAAGGCGGATGGGAAGGTTACAGTTTGATTACGAGGAAGAAAGCAATAACCAGGTTACAATTTGCAATACTTCTATGAGTTGTCTGAAAACTAAAATTACGAGGGAAAGAATGAGAAAGGGAAAGAAAAATACAAAGGGTGCCTTTCTTGTTTGGCGTCATTTTTACTTTCTACCGATTCCCAGTTGAAAACAAAAAATTTACAGTACCCACTGCAACTTACGTGAAGGGAGTTGAATAATAATAACCTCATTTCTTAATCCACTTTCATGGTAATAATGTGACACCAGTGTAAATAATTCACGTTCTTATCATATCTATTCCTACTTTTTTAGTTGCTTTGTATAGGTCAATCTCACGATTAAGTCCAAATAACTACATTTCTTCATTGCAAGCAAAATGGGTTCAAAAAGTTGACTCGGTAAAAAGAAAAGGAAAGATCCATACTTTATTCCCATTTGAAGAAAGTCTGGATTTTTTTTTAGATTATTACAGTGGAAAACAAATTGCTATTATTAAATTAAATTAATTATGACATGGATATGGATAATATTGAGTTTTTCATTGAAACATTGTAAGCGATGGTTGATATATAGTCTCTTTCGAGGATTGAAATAAAATATGCGTCATTGTCTATCTACCAATTATTCTTCTTAGAAGCAGTGTCAAAGTTTGTTGGGCGACAACTATAAGTCTATCTCCGAACTTCAAATGTTATAGTGTCCTCATCAACTGATTCCATTAATAACAATTTATTGATTGTTTTCTAATTGGTTAAATCATTATTGATCGATTTTCTTATTTTTATGAGTTTCAATTTAGTTTTTATTTTAAAAAATTTGATGCAAAGGTTATTTATGCTAAGATTTTTTTATGCTGTTTCTTTCAAATGTTTTTTTAAAAAAGAAAATTAAAAATTTGTTACCTTTATCATAGTTTCTTCTAAAATTAACAATTCTGTTTCTTTCTATTAAAACAAAATTTAATTTTTATATAAATAATATAAAATTATTTTATTAAAATTTATATTTTTATTAGTACTTTTAAAAAGATTAATTTTTTAATATTTATATTTTATATTGAATTTTATTTTAAATTATTTTAAGTTTTTAATAGAAAAAAATTCAACATTAATTTCAACATGATAAAGTTGTTTATTAATTTTATTTTATAAAATAAAATAAGTTTAACAACCTTTTCAATTCTTTTAAATAGTTATATATTTTTACAATATGTATAATTCAATAATTTATATCAATTGTTTGAGTTGATTTAAAAATAGGAAAATGATACTTGAACAACCATTTTTGACAACATTTAGACACGCGCACACGTGTCTAAATTTGAGTGGTCCAGTTGGAAAAATTAAATGAAAATGGACCACTCAAATTTAGACACGTGTGCGCGTGTCTAAATGTTGTCAAAAATGGTTGTTCAAGTGTCATTTTCCTTAAAAATAACACTTTTACAAATTTAAATGTAAATTTTAAATTAAGTTAAATATAATTTTTTTTAATTTTATTTAAGTATTTAATAAAAATATCAATTTTAATAAAAATATTATTATAATATTTATATAATAATTAATTTTCTTTTTCAATTTAGAGGAAGATGAAATTGGTTTATTTTAAAAATAAATTGATAGAAAATAAATAAAAAAAAAGAGATTAAGACTAAAGCAATAATACTAGAGCTATCAAAACGAGAAACTTGGCTTGACCTGATCCGATCCACCACGAGCTAGTCACTTAGTGAGTCAACCCAACCCAACTTATTTATTAACAAGCTGAAAAAATTTGATCCGGTCCAACCCATCACAGGTTGATTGGTTAAACGGGTTGGTTCACTGGCTCACTTAATGATATGTTTTTTTAAATAAAAAAATTATAATTTTTTACTTCAAATCTAAATAAATTTCACTCTAAAATGATGTTAAACTCCAAAAATTATTCAAAATAAAAAAAAAATCATACAATCCGAGGGTAATCCAAAAACAAGCACAAAAGGCGACCAAGTTTTTAATATTTATTATTTTTGTATCACTTGTCCATTTATAATATTACAGTCTTCAATAAACTAACTAGTAATATTGAAATACAAAATAATAAATAATTAAATTAAATTATGTGGGTTGGTGAGCCAACCCGACTCACCATGAGTGCCGAGTTCTAAGTGAGCCGGATTGAAAACTAATCCGCATAAAAAAATTATATTATTTTTAAACTCAATCTGACTCAAACCTTTGGTGGGCAGATTGGCTCACGGGTTATAACCAATTTTGACAGCACTAAACAATATTTCATATTAAAGTGATACGTGACCTTATTAATGTCATGTGACATCTTATTAATTTGATACGTAATTTTTATTTTTAATTTTTTAATTAAAAAATAAAAAGAGTTTAAAAGAATTAAAAAAACCACGAATTAATATATAATACTTCTTTAATGGTATTAGTATGCTATTAATAAAAATACATGATTACATCAAGTTTTTTAAAAAATTATACGTATAAAAATAAAAAACCAATTTAATTTTATTCTACAAAAAGACGATTAAAATTATTTAGCCTTTTTAATTTTATAAATTATTAATTTAGTTATCATCATTCAGTTCCATTAATCTCTTCCACTTCATTCATTTGATAGTTATATATTAATTACATTGTTATTATTATTTGATTTATTACTAAGGATGAGATATCTCATTTAACTACATATATTTCTTTTTTACTTACATCAAATATATTTTTAGTGTCTAAGTTTAGAAATTTCAATATATCACAGTTTAGAACAGAAAAAGAAAATTAAATTTTACATTCAAAAGTTAAAGTATAAATAAAATACAGACATAATATTTTATTCCATTAGAAAAATATTTTTTCAAAACTCGCTTTATTCAAACTTTTGTCTGTGTTTAAAGGATAATCAAGATTATTTTTATATTAGAATGTCGGGGCAGAGGAAGTAATACGATAAGGGATTAATGTCACATTCCATATAGAATATTTTTCTTTTCTTTTGTAACTGTGAGGATAATTTTGTATCAGTGTTTGATGTGTGTAGGGATAAAATTGTGTATTTTTTTTTCAATTAGTTCTTATTATCTTGAATTAATTTTATTATTGATAATCATTGATTTTTGGTCTCTTATACAATGTTTGAATTTCCATGACATAAAAGAAGACGAATTACATAAAAAGGAACATCCAACATATAAATGAGTGGCAATAAATTACATATACAAGCATATAACAAACTCATGCTAAATTAGTGGATTTAATGCAAGAATGATTCCAACATCAGATATCATAAAATCATACTTTATGAACTAATTACCTAAATGACATGAACGTAATATCTGAATAATAACAAAATTGCATCTTCTTTTAACATGTGGAGATTAATACTTTCTTCATACATAAAAATGGAATGCATTCTCAACTTTTATATCATACTAAATTAGGAAACAATTACCTTATTATGAAAGGTTATTCAATACTATAACTAATATGGGCAGACAGAATTTCTCTGAAGGACGAAACTATTATCCACGGGAACAAAATTAATTATTGTTGAAATATTTCTATTAAAGAAATGGAAAATAACAAGTTAAAAAGAAAAAAGTCTCCAAATAATTCTTAAAATGGCAACTAAAAAATGTATTTCTTAAGAAAGTTGTTTATAAAACATGAGCATCATAATGGCTTTTTTTTATTCAGAAAATATTATTGGTTTAAGCACACACATTATTTTATTGAGTAGTTTGAAAAATAAAAAAATATTTTTATACTTTTTAAATTATTGTGTTTAAACAAAATATTCTTTAGATTAGGTGATGATGACCTGTTACTTAAATAGTGGCTAGACCTCTTCTTTATGATGATTGTTGGGTGAGGCATCCTTCTCTGTACTTTTATATAACTTCAAAAATATAGATTGATCAGAAGTGATGCATGACAGCACCTACAACAAATTACCATCAAGGACTTTCAACCCTTTTCTATCTTTATGTCTCCCTTTTTATAGCAACTTGCCACTTTCTCTTAGATTAGTTATACCACTTTTTTGTTTTCTTATAAACAAAGCAATAATCAGTGTTTGTGAGTTCTCTTTTTCAATTTTTATTTGTGTTAATTAGGTAAACATTTTAGCTTATAATACAACTCAGGATGATGACACTATTGAAAATTATTAGTATCAGTATATCTATCAATAACTAATTCAAATCATGCCCTAATCATAACTGGATATATGATCGTTTAAATTCAAACTATTAATTCATATTTAAGTAGTTACAACTTTGCATTTTATTATCATCTTAATTAAAAAGTCAAGTCACACAATATCAAATTTTGATATGATAAAACGAATCAGTCATGAGGATTTTATCAGATTTTTTCATGGTTATTTAATCAGACAATGGGAAAGGTGTGGGTGGGTCCACTTCTGTTAATTACAGAATGGGGCCTGCTTGAATATCACTAGAAGAAGATTTGTTTAAATTTTAGCCAAATCAATAATTAACAATTGCTACTTAACTCCAAAAGAAAGTGAGTCAAGATTCCAAAGAAGGAAACATCATTTGCTGTTGCGTCCAAATAATGTGTAGGGATTGTTTGTTTAGCTTATCAGTTTATGACCAAAACATTAAAGCTGAAAACTTCAAACACGATACACGGAGAAAATTAAGTAATATAGAGAGAGAAACGTGATATTGGTAAAAAATCTGGAGTTTGGTAGGCTTGAGAATGACTCTTTCAAGGCCAATAATCGAAAAGTGTGATTCCCTTATGGCAGAAGACAGAAGCTTCTAAAAAAGACTGATTCTTTGTTGTTTTTGATTACTTAAAGTTGTGATGTAAATGGTTATAACGAAAGCCGAAGTGGGTTGAGAGCAGAATTTGAATTGCTGCTGCTTTATTACTATTACTTATTGCAAACACAAGAACGGGCACAATACAAAAATTCCACGATAAATAGAAAAGCAATCATAAACGGCCATAGTAATCTATGAACAAATAAATTAAAGAGATGACTAAGAGTGGACTGTACTTTTAACTTGGCATTTACACTTTAAATCTCTCTTCCTTGTTTTGATTTGTCCGTCACTTGAACACAATAAGATCAGGACGTGCAAGATGGCCATCAAACAAATAGAATCAAGCGGGTCTGAATCACAGATATTGTAGCTCGGAGATGACACCTTCAGACTTTTATTCAGAGAACTTGGACAGGAAGATAGATATTTCACTTCACTCCTAAAGGAGCTTCCATTTATTCCTCGAAGAAAACTACAACCTGAAAATGAATAATTCCATAGAAATTTCCATTACTAAAATTCATACATGAATATACAACTCTGATTTTACTTGCGAATGTGTATAAGGTCGGTGAACTTACATGATTTATCGTGAACGGTGCTTCCACAGTCTGAGCTTACTTGTAGATAGGTGGAGGTGGGGAAGCATAGACGTAAGCCGGAGGCGGAGGTGATTTGTAAATGTACTTTGGAGCGGGAGCTGGGGAGGGAGGAGGTGGTGATTTGTAATGGTACGGTGGAGGTGGAGATGGAGAAGGTGGTGGAGGGCTCACGTAGTGGTAAGGAGGTGAAGGATACGCCTTTGGTGGTGGAGGGGATTGGTAGTAGTAGGGAGGATGAGGAGCGGGAGATGGTGGAGGAGGACTTTGATAGTAATAAGGAGGTGGTGGAGATGGGGATGGGGGTGGAGGGGATTTGTAGTAATATGGAGGTGGTGGTGATGGGGATGGTGGTGGTGGTGAGTGGTAGTAGTAGGGAGGGTGTGTGCTCTCTTTAGGTGGAGGTGGGGAATGATAGTAGTAAGGTGGTGGAGGGGACGGTGAAGGTGGTGGTGGAGATTTATAGTAGTATGGAGGAGGAGGGGATGGTGAAGGTGGGGGTGGAGATTTATAGTAGTATGGAGGGGGAGGAGAGGGTGATGGTGGAGGTGGGGAGTGGTAGTAGTACGGGGGTTTAGGTTTTGGTGATGGTGGAGGGGGAGATTGGTAGTAGTATGGAGGCTTATAAACCGGTGAGGGTGGAGGTGGGGAGTGGTAGTAGTATGGAGGGGGAGGTGAGGGGGATGGTGGAGGGGGAGAGTGGTAGTAGTATGGAGGGGGAGGTGAAGGGGATGGTGGAGGTGGAGAGTGGTAGTAGTATGGAGGTTTAGGCTTTGGTGATGGTGGGGGTGGAGATTGGTAGTAGTACGGAGGCTTTGGCACAGGTGATGGAGGAGGTGGAGATTTATAGTAGTATGGAGGGGGAGGAGAGGGTGATGGAGGAGGTGGAGAGAGGTAGTAGTATGGAGGTTTAGGTTTTGGTGATGGAGGAGGTGGAGATTGGTAGTAGTAAGGAGGCTGAGGCTTTGGTGATGGTGGAGGAGGAGACTGATAGTAGTATGGAGGTTGAGGTTTTGGTGATGGAGGAGGTGGAGACTGATAATAGTATGGTGGTTTAGGTTTTGGTGAAGGTGGAGGTGGAGACTTATAATAATAGGGAGGCGACTTCACGGGTGGTGGTGGTGACTTGTAAACATAAGTTGGTGATGGTGGTGGTGGTGACTTGTATACGTAAACTGGAGAGGGAGGAGGAGGTGAGTTGTAATAGTATGGAGTTGGTGAAGGCTTATAAGGCTTCTTGTCACAGTCCTTGAAGTGCTTCTTTGAAGCATAAGCAAATGGCTTAGCCTTGAGCACAACTTCATATTTATCTTTGGATTTCACCTTCAATGGAGTTCCCTCGTTCAGCTTGGTAGGTATGTTGAAGGGAGAGTCCTTAGGAGGAGCATGAAGGTGGGCCTTGCAGACTACTGATCCGTATTTCACATAGTCAAAGTCCTTAACTGTGATGCTGTATTTTCCATTGCTCTTGGTTTCACCATAAGCCTTAATGATGTTTCTTCCTGCTTTGCATTTAACCTCCACAATAGCACCTACGTTTACCCAAAATGGTTCATTACAATTCATAAATTCTAACATGCAGGGACTTATAATTATAGTGAAAGCAACATATATATATATATATATTGGTCTCTTACTAAAGTTATACCATTCTTTGTCAGATAGCATATTATATCAGTGAGGATCATTTAAAGATTGATATGTTAAATTGTCTATAGTTGATTATTTCTTAATCTATGCTGTAGCCGATTCTAATAAATCATATTCCTGTTTTTCTTTTAATCACAAATAATTTAAGAATTTTATTTAATAACTTTGTTTTATTTTCAATTTAAAATATTTAATATTTTAATTGAGATAAAGATATTTGTACAAATCAATGTATAAAATATTTGAGGATTTAATTTAGATAAATATATTATTAAAATTATAATAATCAATATTCTATATATTCAACTTTTAAAAGGACAAATCAGAAGGAAAAATAATCTTCCTACGTATAAAAAGGGTTGAAAATATATAAGATGGTTTCTAGCAATAATTTAACGCGGTAGACCCTATAATTTGAAATGCCTACTAACTACATTATAAAACGATCGCTTAGGTTGAATCTGTTGAACATTTTTTTTCTCAGACCTCATAAATATCTACTGATAAACGTTAATTAACATAAAGGGTTAACCATAAGAAAGAAAAAAGACAACTAAGAAAAGATGGTAGTGAAAGTGAGTAAATTCTAGAAAACAAAGACATGTATGGAAACATACGAGTCTCTTAACCCAAAAGAGAAGCAGGAAAATAACAGTGTAACGGTAAAACACGGTGGAAGGCATTGTAAATGTGGAAAATAAGATGAATGCAGTGTGTACCTTTGAGGTGTTTCTTGTTGTGAGACTTTTCGGGATACGCCCAGTCGTAGCACTTGTAGCTGTAGACTTTACCTACTACCTTGACGATCAAAGGGTGGTGGTAGGGATGGTAAGGGTGTGGGGGATAGTAAGGAGTTGGTGAAGGAGGAGGAGGAGACTTGTAGTAGTAGGGAGTTGGAGATGGTGGTGGTGGAGACTTGTAGTAATAAGGAGTTGGGGATGGATAGTAAGGAGTTGGTGATGGTGGTGGTGGAGATTTGTAGTAGTAGGGAGTTGGGGATGGTGGTGGTGGAGACTTGTAGTAGTAGGGAGTTGGGGAAGGATAGTAAGGCGTTGGAGATGGTGGTGGTGGAGACTTATAATAGTAAGGAGTTGGGGAAGGTGGTGGTGGAGATTTGTAGTAGTAGGGAGTTGGAGATGGTGGGGGTGGAGACTTGTAGTAGTAAGGAGTGGGGGATGGATAGTAAGGAGTGGGGGACGGTGGTGGCGGAGACTTGTAATAGTAAGGAGTGGGAGATGGTGGTGGTGGAGATTTATAGTAGTAAGGTTTTGGAGATGGATAGTAAGGAGTTGGGGAAGGTGGTGGTGGAGATTTATAGTAGTAAGGTTTTGGGGATGGATAGTAAGGAGTTGGGGAAGGTGGTGGTGGAGATTTATAGTAGTAAGGTTTGGGGGATGGATAGTAAGGAGTTGGGGAAGGTGGTGGTGGAGATTTATAGTAGTAAGGTTTTGGGGATGGATAGTAAGGAGTTGGGGAAGGTGGTGGTGGAGACTTGTAGTAATAGGGAGTTGGGGATGGTGGAGGAGGAGACTTGTAGTAGTAAGGAGTCGGAGATGGTGGAGGTGGAGACTTGTAGTAGTAAGGAGTGGGGGATGGATAGTAAGGAGTTGGGGACGGTGGTGGTGGAGACTTGTAATAGTAGGGAGTGGGAGATGGTGGTGGAGGAGACTTGTAGTAGTAGGGAGTTGGAGATGGTGGTGGTGGAGACTTATAGTAGTAAGG